TGAAAAAAATGAGTTTTTGAAAAAATGGGGATCAAATATAGGTATAATTGAATTTGTAGAGACGGATAATAAATTGAGATATAAAAATAAAATTTGTCAACACTAGACTCGTAATCCACATATTTTTAATTTTACAAGCCAACTCCAAGTGCTTGTACAACTTTCTCGTCGAGACATATAATGTATAGATAAGAGTAATGCAATTTATAAGCACACGACTCAAAATCTGGATTTTTTAATGGAAAATTGTAGCCACGGTATCAAATCTTTCATTTAGTAGTAGACTTTGCCCAAAATTTTCATTTGTGCCAATCACGTTATCAAATCTTTCAAAATGTCGCAGTTGAAGCCAAATTGAAGGAAACTATTAGTTTGATCGTTAGTTAACCAAATAATTAACATTGACCATAATTTTGACTAATTCTAAAAGGGTAAAATTGTAACTTTACATTTTTAAAACAAAAACCACAATTATATTATATTAATAATTAAATTTAAAACCCAAAAACCACCCACCATCCTCCCCTTCTTCCCCAACCCCTTACCTCAAAACCACCAACAATAGTAACAGTGGTTGACGGCATCGTCATCGTCGGTAAAACAGCTGCAACAGTTTTTCCAGTTTTTTCTCTCCTATTTCGTTTAGGATTCGATTTTTTTTTATTCTACTTCATCAACAACTCTACCAAGAGGGTTTGGACGTCCCCTATATATTCCCTATAAATATTAGGATCTTCTATTCAATTTTATAAGTGTGAGAAAATATATTATTAGAATTATAGGATTCATTGTAGTTCTCTCTCTTCTTCATTATTCCCGAGTCAATAAAATCTCTTAATTCTTCTACCGTATTCTTGTCCTTATTATTTTTTTGTTTGATCATATATTTTATTATTATTTACCATATAATTTCAACATCTTAATGCAGTGGTTTATTTTTACAACAAACATCTTTAGAAGATGTTTCATTTCATGTTCTACTTGAGCTAGGGTTTTATGAATTTCCTTTAATTCATTATCCGAAGATAAGGAATCCTCAAAAAACTCCACATCACTCGATTCGATGATTACATTGGTCTCCAAGTTCAATA